AAATCACCATGTACTAGATTTCCTAAGGGGAATAACTCATATTTTAAGTGCTTGGAAGGCTAAAAAGTTGTAATTTTCAAATAAAAAAGTGACACACTAAAATGTGTCTGTTTTTTTATTATGAGTTGTTGAATAGTATTGGCTGGTCTATTATTTGTGACCAGCGGAGCTATCAGTGCCATTTGTGTGTTGTTTGATAAGGCCAACTTCTTGAACGTCACTAATGATGTCCCAGGTGATGTACAGCACTTCCAATGTCAGTGTCACATGTCACATGGCAAGTTTTATTTGAGTTCAGCGATGTGGCTAATAGATGAACGATTCCGGGTCAAATATTGAAGACTTTTGTGGCAATTCGATAAGAGATCTATCTGCCACTCCATGCCACAAATTTGGGTTGTCAAGTTTGATTATGGTGTTCCCCAAGATGTGCTTGTAGTGCATCTCTGCTCGCTGTCACCTTTTGTGCAGTATAGGGCCAAGGGTGTAGCAGAGTGTGTAATGGACTGTAGCCTTAGCTCATTGCTGCTCTTTGTTCATTCATATTTATACAGGAAGAGGCTATAAGACGTCTACATGAAATTAATACATTTCTGTCAGACGTAATTAGCCAGAAAATGGCCGTGAAAATCGCTGCTCTTTATGCTATCAGCAATAAGGTACCAGAAGTGGTTTATTCCATAGTTGATGGCAAAGACAAGAGTGGTAATATTTCATTGCTTAAAGATAAACTCATGGCTATTTCAAAGTCGGAATGGTTCAAATATAGAGTTAACTGCAAGTGGTTGGAGTTGGAACTTCAACTGAAAACCAAGTACACAGTTGCTGACAGTGATAAGAGGCCTATTGAGACAATCAAAGAGGTTCATGAGCTAGCACGCAAGATTAACATGAGTGAGGATGATGCTGACGAGGCACTGGAGTTTTACTACCGTATTGGGGAGATGGTCTGTCTGGAAGAGAAAGTTTGTATTAAACCGGAGTGGTTTGCAGACTTGTTCAAGCTTGTCATCACCTATGTATTGAAAAAAAATCTTCCCACAAGACAAACATGCTTCCTCAAACCCTTAGAAGAACGTGGTGAATTGAATGAAGAGCTTTTGGATAAGGTGTTGGAAAGCAAGAACCGACCAAAAGAAGATAAGCCGATCTTGATTGAAATATTCAAGAGGTTTGATATTATTTGTGAAGTAAACCAATCACAACCAGTACAACCAGGCAAGCGTAAATTTATAATGCCATGTATGCTGACCAGCAGCACATCTATTCTTCAAGATAAACCCAACACAACAACAAGTCCTGCTCTTCATTATCACTTTCCAGACAATTGTCTCCCCAGTGCAGTTTTCTATCAGTTAGTGGTGAGGTGTGCATCTGCTGAGCAATGTGAGCCAAAGTTATACAAACATGCAGCACAGTATTACTGGTCCAGGAATGCCTTGACTGTCATTACTATAAAGAAGGAAGGTTCTGACATAGTACTGACAGTGACATTTAAACGTCTTGATGATGATGATGAGATTCCCAATCAGTCACACTGTGGTCCAGAAATCAGAAAATCTGTAGATGATAACCTAAACGATATCATCAAGAAATACAGGCCTGGTTTATCGTATGAGCACAGTTTAAAGTGTCCTTGTGGTAAACATGATCTGTCCAATAGAAAAGAAGATGATGGATGTGTTGTCATTGGTTCATTGAAAGGAGATGAGTGTTGGTGTAATGCAATACGCAATTGCAAAAAAGATGCTCTATTGAAATCTCACGACTTGTCCTTCTGGTTTGACCCAATTGCAACTGATCCTAGTAAGTATATGTTTCTTTTGTTAACAAAAAAAATGAAAATATTAGGGTATCCATAACTCCTGATAAAATGTACGTTGCATTCCCACTTTGTGAGCCATACTCACCAATTTATACAAATATTGTGAATGAATAATGAGAAATTAGTTGCAGAATAAGTCATGTGAGCCTTCTAAATTATGCGATACATGTAAACAGTAGACACTCACTGAGTTAAGAGGTTTTGTTTGTTCTCATATTTTTAGCTAAAACAGAAACATTTTATGTTTTTACCTTTTTCTGAGAGTGATATTTCACGTATTTGCAGAGTGGGAATCTAACATTACCAGTTTCAGTTATGTGTAGTTGAGTAGACTTGATAATAATTCCTTTTGACATTGACATTTTAATTGAAACATCTTATAACATTGAACAGTGGTTTGTTCTGCCAATATCAACAAATGTTGAGCATAAAATGTCCTAATCCT